TTAATTTTTAAATAATTAATAATTATTTATATTTTATATACAACTTTTAATATTTTTTTATAATACAAAATTAGCAATAATTAATTTTAGTTAGGGTTGTTCATCAAACCAATGAAACTGATCAACCCGACCCAACTTGACCCAAGTTGGTTGGTTTTGTAGTATTTCCAATCGGCTTTGGTTCAGCAAACCCAACCAAGTTGAATCAATTTCGGTTTGGCCATTTGTAAACCAACCAAAACTAAACTAACCCAACAATGTATATGTATTAATGTTTTATATTTTAAATATAATTTTTTTAAGATGGGAAAGTGGGAAATTTTCTATATTTCTTAACCTAAAACATTGTACATTGTAAATTTAATTTTATAAATGATTTTTTAATAATACCAATGTAATTTTTTTAATTTAAATTTCATTTTTAAATTTAAATATTTTGAACTGACTAACTAAATTGAAAATTGACCCAAATCAACACAACACGGGTTGGTTGATTTTCGACAATGGTCAGTTGATTTCGAGTGACCAACTCCCCAACCTGACCAAGTTGATTTAATTGGCCATAAAGCCAGCAACTAAACCGAACCAACCCTAGAACACTCCTAATTTCAGTTAAATTAATAGTTTAAATTCTAATAAACAACAATAGTTTCATCACCAATAACTATTGAAAATTTATAGCGAAAACACACAATTATTGAAAATAAATTTATAACAAAATTACAATAAATAACTAACAAAATACAATAATTATAATAATAACAAAATTACAATAAATTAAATTTAAAAAGTTAAATAAATCTCCTATAATTATTGAAAATTTTCTGTTAAATAAAAAAAACAAAAATAGATTTATAAAGAATTATTGAAAATATATTTATCAAAAACTACAACAAATAATTTCTGAAAATACAATAAATACTAATTTTAGTATGTATAATTTTTGTAGATTTATTAATTGATATAAGTGAAATTAGTTATTTAAAATTTTTAAAATATTAAGTATTTATTGAATTAAGAAAAATTTTTAAATTTATTATATAATTTCATTATTTTAACTATTTATAATTTATTTATGTTAAAAAAATCATTATTTAAAATATTTAGTAATTTAAATATTTAAGTAATATGTAAAATATTTATAAAATTTTGTTATTTGATTTTTACTTATTTTAAAGTAATTACATAATATTAAATATTTTGTTATATAATTATTTAGTTATTTTTAATATTTTGTTATTTAAGATATTTAGTTATTGGAATATTTAAATAATATTTATTTTTAATGTTAAATTTTTATTATTTGAATAACATTGAGTTGAATAATCCATTAAATTATAATTTATATTGTTAGTACATAATTTTGTGATAAATTTGTAAATATAAAATTATTAAAATATATTATAATTATTCTTTGTGTTTTTAATAAACATTTTAAAGTTATTATATAATTTTGATATAATATTTAGATAATTCATAAGTTTTTCAATTCAAACTCTCTTTAAATACATCTATCGGGTTCGGGTTCAATCGGGTTGCTTGAGGGGTCAACCCTAAGTCCCTAACCCAACCTGAAGTAAAGTCAGGTTCTTAAATTTTAACCCTAACACTAACTCAAACATCAACCAGACCCAACCCAAACCTTCTTCTTAGAGTTGGGTTCGGGCTAACCCAACCCAAGTTGCAGCCTTACCTTTAATGTATTGTTGGGGGCTTGGGGCACTATCTTGGCCCAATCTTACTCAAGATGGGGCCACATAAATACATTAAAGGTCAAGATTTCACGGTTTTAGTTCAGGCCAAAACTGCGTTATAGAAAAAAATAGATTGCCAGTGAAATTTGATAAATTTTCATTAGTTAGTGCACACCTTTGTACAAGGTGTAAACACATGAGATCCGGACTGGTATAATACACCATTGTATTTCTCTTTTGAGTGGGTGATACTCCCTCTTGTAATTCTCTTCTGCTTAATTCTGATTTATCTCTCGGTGAGATTATTGTAAACCTAGATTTTACAGGTGAATGAAAGTTGGCCTCATGCCGACTGGTGTAATATAATACACCATTAGGACAAGGGCTAAGTTTGGGAGTATTCGTGTGGCTCCATCTTGAGTTTGAAAGAGTAACGTCAAGATAGAGCCCCAACAATAAATCGTGAAATTGAATTTGGGTATATTACTGACTGACTACTGAGATCTTAAGCGATGGGATTGTGTTTGGTAAAGGATTTGCAGCCAGGAGTATGATATGTGGGAACTAGATTCGTTCACAGACCGGGCTTTGCATGGGCTTGGCTTTACACTATTTCCCATTCAAATTTTGAGAAAAACTAAGTTCGAGCCCAGCCCATGAATACATGTACAGGTAACAGGGACAGAACTGCCTCAATTAGCTGCTGCACCTACAAGGCTACAAATAATAACTTAGAGGGCCGGGTGTTCACTAAGTCTAAGTGGTCCATATAATGTTTTCTTTATGCATTTTGCATGGCAATAAATCATTTACCCACAAGGTGTCAAGATTGGTCATTGATATAGTCCATGTGCTCGTTCATGGTAATTAATTAATGTGGAGTATGGTATAGATGGCTTCTATATCGATGTCTTCTCTATCCATTTGGCTGAAGGAGAGAGAGATTGGAATTAACCAATTAGATAAGGTACCACTCCATGTGCAACTTATGGCAGGCATGCATGCATCCCAACAAATTAAAGGATCCATGCTCCATGGGAACTGAGAGAAGTACTTGTTTGGAGGATAACGAAATCCCTTTCCTGCTTGCAGTAGCGCCTTTATGCCCCCCAATCCCCTTCCATCTAAACGTCTTTTGGTTGGGCAAATGTACATCCATCCATGGATCAAGGCGAAGTTGATGGGGGCGAGTATATATCCCTACACACTTACACACAAATTTGTCCATTTGTCCAACACTTTAGTCATATCCACTTGTTTCCCCTCATTCTGATAGTCTGATAGGATAGGATAGGTGTGTGAACGTGTGATAATTATTGACATTTGGTCACTGCTGATCGGACTACCTATCTTCATTTCTTCACCCCATCTTGTGCCTCCCTCTCAAAACTCAGAATTCCGCCTGAGATTAATAATGGGTCTTCCACTCCTGCAACCCAAACAAGGAAATTAGCTAGCTAGTATGGGAATTGGGAAAGGGAAATGGACGTTGCTCTCCCAGCTCTCCAAGCCCATCTCCTTGATAATCCGGATTGAATAAAAACCCATCCTGGTCCAGTTTTAGGCCCATGAATGGGTCCATTCTCCAATGTCGGGTACCCGGGTATGGAAGTATATATCCGTTTACATACACCCTCTAAAGTTGAGACAGATAGAGATTGTTGATTGAGATGATTCAGAAACGGATTGGATAGCTGATCGTGATAATTCAGCCCATACCCACGTGGCTATGGCTACCTGCAAAGAGAAGAGACAGACCACCACCACCATGAATTGAAAAAATCAAACAACTATAACAAAATAATGTGTACAACAACAAGTGAACCACCCACCATTGTTACACTGGTTAGCACATTCTTTTGGAGGGGACTACAAAGAATAACAATGCTTGATTCATTAAATTTTGAAAGTAAGATAGAAAGAAAGAAAAATAGGTCCCCCAACGTTTTGGACTGCCGTAGACGCCAACCAAATACCTCTTTCCTCCCGTTGATGCTTTTGCGTCCCGACTCCTGAAAGCCAGGCCAAGCCAAACCAGCTTCGGGTCTTCTTGTCCTTTTGTCCTTATAGCGATGCATACACCAATCTCAGGACTCGGATCCAAACGGGATCCGCCCATTTACATTTACATGGTAGGTTCAAGTTCGGACCCCTCACTGGAGGGACCCACATCTCTTCCTCATTTTCCGTAGATCATGGCGTCATCCTCATTGGCCCACACAATATGAAGGCCCGATCTGCTTCTCATACGGGGCCCTTCACACCGATCTTACACGCACATGTGTAAGGAACAGATGTTCCATATTTATAAATTATCATTGACGGGAGATGTTCCCAATCCACGGTGGATGTGCCTGTAACTAAGGCGCCTATGTGTAAGGAACAGATCCCGTTCCCACAATATAACATCCCAACTCAGTATCGTCATCCCCATCCAACCTCACACTTGTGAGCTTGGTTTGGTTAATGTACGCTTTAACATAAAGGCGTTAGTGTTGAGTAAATGAGTAGGAGGTCCGAACGAGGAGGAAGACAGGACAATTCACGATTCAATAACTAATAGCTTGTTAGTTATTGCTCTGCAACCGACACAGATACAGAAACCATCTTCAAACCACAAGTTCACGTGTATCATCAATTCTATGGTCCCTGTCTCACCAAATCACCACATGCCCAGAATTCAATACATTACCTTTAGTTTCTTTACCATAATTGCTTGGTTTCACGTCAAAATGATTTCATTTATTTTCTTCTCTTCTACTCTATTCATGTACAGTACAATTTGCACGTGCCACTCAACTAAAGTGAAAATAATTCGAATGTGTCGTGTCCAAATTTTGGTTGAGTTGAGAAATGAGAAACAACAACAAGTAAAACCCAAAAGTTTCGTTACTTAACTTCCATAAAACCCATACTTAGATGACATGACATCCACCCATACTTAAACATCTCTCTCGTCGGCGTCGCATCTCACGGAATTGTTTATCATTTATTACATACCCCCACCCACCCCCCAATTTGATAATCTATAATCTATTTTATCTTAAGCCACATGGGTCGGACGCGTTGAAAATGAACCCAAGAAAATTTCTCTCAGCTTATCTCACGGTTTCACGTTTTTGTATGCATGGAATTACGGACCAATATTAAAATCTTGGATTGGAAGAGCTTGCCTCCCTCCCTGTGTCTTATGGGTCTCTGGTATATTTGAGTATTTCCTCCCTCCTTCTCTCTCTCTTAATAATATTTTCTTATAAAGCGTAGACTAAAGAGTACTGATACTGTTGGAGACTTAACAAATTTATTCTATTATATTCTTTGATAGATGAGAGCAGTTATTGCTTTCGCCGCTCTCGTTCTACCACCTCGCTTTGGAGTTTGAACCTCTCGCTCTTCTTAACTCCTTTTCTTTCCTCCCGAGCTTCCAAAGTAACAGCACTGTTGTCGCCCCGTCTCTTTCTCTCTCTCTTTCAGAAGTAAGTATCTCATTCTCATCTCAAACTAGTAATAAATGGGTTATCTCTCTTGCAAAGCTGAGTCTTCCATCATCAGTTGCGATCCCTACAACTGGGACAGAAGGAAGAGATCAGGAATCTGTAAAAATGAACCCACTAAAATCCGACACTTCTCCTACGCCGAGCTGGAGTCCGCCACCGGAGGTTTCTCCCCGGCTTCATTTCTTGGTAAAGGTAGCCATGGCAGTGTCTACAGAGCTGTTCTTGACGATGGTAAGCTCGTTGCTGCTGTTAAGAAGACGATGACGTGGGCTGGAGCCACGCTTCAAGGTGGGGACTTCAACAACATGAACAACCATCCCGTAGACAACGAGATCGAAGTCCTTTCCAGAATTCGAAGCCCTCGTCTGGTGAATCTGCTGGGATTCAGTGTTGATGCAAAAGAGAAGAAGCTTCTCGTCGTTGAGTTTATGGAGAATGGATCTCTTTACGATCTCCTACACGCAAAACCTCGACCGCCCGGTTGGGCTAAGCGAATCCGGTTCGCCTTGCAGACCGCGAAGGCGATCGAGACTCTGCATTCTTCGAACCCGCCGGTTATTCACAGGGACATTAAGTCGTCAAACGTGCTCGTCGACGGAAACTGGAATGCCAGGCTGGGGGATTTCGGGTTGGCCTTGAGGGGACACGTTGAGGACGTAAAGATCAGATGTACGCCTCCCGCCGGCACTTTGGGCTACCTCGACCCCGGCTACGTTTTGCCGGAGAATCTCAGTGCCAAGAGCGACGTCTTCAGTTTTGGGATTCTGTTGTTGGAGATCATCAGTGGCCGAAACGCCATTGATGTGAACTACAGCCCGCCCTCGGTGGTTCATTGGGCCTTGCCACTTATCAAGCAGTTTGAATTTGCTCTGCTGTTCGATCCCCGGATCGGGCCGCCCGGGGACCCGTCTGTGATGAGACAATTGGCGGTTCTGGCGGCACGATGTGTCGGGTCGACGGCCGAAAAGAGGCCGTCTATGGCGGAGGTGGTTGAGTGTCTACAAACTGTTAGCAAGAAAGTGCCTTCGGCAGTTTGGAACAATCTCAGGAAGCGGGTAAAGAAGACATCTCCAGCAATTGACCGAGAGGTGTTTGATGATGGGAAAGAAGAGGCTGTCGTCAAGACCTCCAAATCTGGGAGCAGAGCTTCGCCGTTGAGGAATACAAAAGTATCCAGTGTTCCGCCCGCTATGGATTCAGTGAAAGAAGCAATGGGTTCGATTGGTGCTGTTGCTGAGGAAATCGGGCAAGAAGCGGTTAGTTCGGTTAGTGTTGTAAGTGAGAATTTCGGGCGAGAAGCAATTAGCTCCGTCGGTGCTGTTCCTGTTGGTGACGGTGAGTATTCAGGGCGAGAAGCAGCAAGTACTTCAAGTGGTGCTGTTCCTGTTGGTGACGGTGAGTATTCAGG